TAAAACACGAGCCTTGCCAGATGTGGTGGCACATGCCTGTAATCCTAGCAATCTGGGAGGCTGAGGCAGAAGAATCTCAAGTTCAAGGCCAGCCTGGAGAACTTAGACCCTGTCTCAAAATAAATAATTGAAAAAGAGCTGGGGGATATAACTTTGTGCAAAAATAAATAAGTATTAAAACACCCACCCTGAAGAACCTTTAGGAAGCAAGTGTTTGAGACCTCACTCACAGAAGGGAAACTGAGGCATGGAGAGGGTCTCTAAAGGTTGCATTTATGAGCCAGGGTGTTGGAGAGAAAGACCCTTGCTCTCCCCAGGACCTGAATTATGGGGGCTGATAGCTGACTTGCTTTTAGGAGATGGGGCCTGGTTGGATGAAGTGGGTCACTGTGGGTGTGACCTGGAAGAGTTTATCTTGTTTCTCAACTCCTTTCTACTCTCTGCTTCCTGTCTACCATGCTGTAAGCAGCTCTCTTCTACCATACCCCTCTTCTATGCCACCCTACTTTGGATCCAGCCAACCATGCAAGGACTGAAACATGAGCCAAAATAAACCTCTCCCAGGGGTGTCAGGTGTGTCCCAGCAGTGAGGGAGGTGACTAAGACAGAATTTTGGTACCAGAGAAATGGGATCATTACTGTAACACTTCCTACCTGACCAGGTGGTTCAGAAGCCTTTGGAACTGGTTCTCTGGAGGAGTTTGAAATGGTTTGGAGGCTTGATAGATTCTGGTCAGAAGAAGACCAGAATGCTGATTTAAAAGAAGGAGAAAGAAAGAGAAAGAGAGAGAGAGAAAGGAAAGGAAAGAAGAAAGAAAGAAAGAAAGAAAGAAAGAAAGAAAGAAAGAAAGAAAGAAAGAAAGAAAGAAAGAAAGAAAGAAAGAAAGAAAGAAAGAAAGAAAGAAAGAAAGAAAGAGAAAGAAAAAAAGAAAGAGAGGGAGACTCAGAAGGTTTCTGTTAGGAAGGACTCCATTGGCTGTTGGACTCCAGGCCATGTGTGTTATCCTTTGGTGTAAAATTTGTCTGCATTTTGTTCATGTCCTGAGACTTTGTGGGAGACTGAAGTTAAGAGTGGCAGACTAATTAATCTGGAGGAGGAATTTCAAAGCAGTCCAATGTTCATGCTGTAGCATAGGTATGGTTTACTGTTTTTTGCCATGTTTATACTGAAAATCAGGAGGAAAAAGTCCATTTGAAAAGTTTTCCATTTCCCAGAAAGGAAGGGCCTACAAAGTTGGGGCAGAGGAGAGCTTGGTTGCTGAAAAGATTAGCACTAAAAAGAAGCTAAGCACTTTACAACAGGATGATAGAAAAAATGGCTTGAGTGCATCACAGCAACCAGGAAGACCCCATCCTTCACAGGCTGAGAGTTCAGTGGTGAAAGACTGCTTTGGGAAGAGAGCCCCGGGGGCACCGGGCACTAGAAGGACTACCTAAGGAATTCAGTTCACAGTGCTCAGTCAGCCAGCCACTCAGAGGCCTCTGCACTCCTGATTCAAGGAGGCCTGGCTACTACTCAAGCTGGCGGCAGACCTTGGCATCACCCACGTGGTACTGGCTTTACAGGCATAAAGAATAAGAGATGTGGGAATCGGGAGGCTTCCACTCAGATTTCAGAAGAAGCCCTGGGAGGCCAGGCAGTGTGACCCTGAGAGGGCAGTGCATTCAGCCAAAAGTGCAGTGGAGATCACAGGAAGTTGGAGAAATCAGAAACATGGGACATCTGAGAAAGGCCACAGGGCTTGATGAAAGGCAGCCCAAGAGAGAGGCCATGAGGGCTGAAATCACCAGCAATGCCGTAGGGGCAGGGCCATCCAAGCCCTTTGGAATTCACATCTCCTTGTCACAACTTGCTCCCTGGTGCTGGACATGGGACTACAAGATTTAATGTTTGTCCTGCTGGGTTGTGGTCTTGTTTGTTCCCATTTGTTGCTGCCCCTCTCTTCTTCCCTTTTGAAATGGGAATGTTTACCCTGTGCCCTTGCATGTTGGCAGTGTTTAGCTTTTTAATTTTTACAGGAGCTAAGAGTCTGCCCTAAGTCTCAGGAGATTTTGGACTTGGACTTTTTTAGAATGCTGAAACTGTTAGGACTTGGGGAACTCTTAGAGATGGACTCAATGCCTTTTGCATAATGGGGTGCCTCTGAGTCCTTCAGGCTCCGCTGGCAGAATGTTACGGTTTATGTCTAGATGTCCCCGCAAAGCCTGATGCACTCACAGGCGGGGCCTTTGGAAGGTGACTGGATTGGAGGCCTAGAGCTGCCTTGCAGCTAAGAGGCGGGGCCAGGTTGGCAGAAGCCGGTCCCTGGGGGCATGGCCTGGAAGGTTATAGCTCCCTTCCAGGCTCCTCCTTTCACTGTCTGTGTTTCCTGTCCACCGTGCTGTGAGCAGCTGTCCTCTGCCATGCCGTCCTGCTTTGGAGTCGGTCAACAACTATGGACTAGAACGTGAGCCAAAATAAACCTCTCCTCCCTTACGGTGTGGGTGTGTCAGGTATTGTGTCCCAGCAATGGGGGAAGCGACCAAGACCAGACTCCTTCAAGGATTGGGGCGCTGGGCTCCTCCTCCACCCTGTGGGACTCAGGAAGCATGTGGGTACCAGGGCAGCCCTGGCCACCATGAGGGGAGGGCTTGTGAGGCCACCTTGTGGCCAGGAGGGGTCGGTGGCCCAGGCCAGGGAAGCCATCATCTGGGGGACTGAGGGGATCAGACAGGGTCAGGAGGTGTGTCTAAGGGAGGAGAGGCCACCAGGGTTGACCCGGGTGCCATCAAAGGACAAAGAGAAGGAACTCACAGGTCCCACAGAGCCCCTTCCCTGGGACATAACCGTATTTTGTTTTGGTTTGGTTTTTCCAGATAGGGTCTCTCTATGTAGCTCAGGCTGGCTTCACACTTGTGGTGATCCTCCTGCCTCAGCCTCCCAGTGCTAGGATTATAGGTGTGTACCACCACGCCCGCTCTACATGGCTCTATTTTGGGCCCATGGGGAGCTGCTGCTTGTGAGCCCCACCACCGCCCCCAGCCACGCTGACCTCCCACGTGATAGTCACATCTTTTCAAAGGCAATTCTGTGATTCTTGGGTACTTTTATGTAATTTTTTTACGAAGGTAAGGCAGGGCATCCTTGTCCAACTATGAGAACTGGCATGGGATTTAGACCTGGGGTGGCATGTGTATCCTGTACATACACGAGCGGGTGTGACCAGGAGTGTCCAAGAAGTCTCCTGGCGCCTTGAGTGGAGACCCCTAAGGGCATGTCTGACGCTGGACAGTTTGTACAATGCAGACACACCGGTTGGGGCCCACACTTTGATCCCGCTTTACTGACCAGAGCTGAGGCCACCCAAGTCCCCAGAATGCTTCATCCTTCCAACCAGAGGCTGGCAAGTGCCTCCTCTGTTGTCCCCAGCCTGGGCCTCCCTGGTGTTAGAGAGGAAGTAGGGAGCCCGGCCCTTCCTGGCTGTCAGCTCACAGTGGCACACATGGGTCACAGTTTGGGGGTGACAGGTTGGTGGGAGATTCTTGGGATCCTCTGTTTATGGCTGTGTCCCCTACAACAAACAAGGTAGTGGCTGGCGTATAGTAGGTGCTCAGGGAATGTTGGTCAGTTTGAACTGAAGGATGATTCCTTACATGGCTCTTTGGGATTCTTCTTTCAGTTTTGGTTTGGGTTTTTTGTTGTTTGTTTTGTTTGAGACAGGGTCTCCTCTGGCCTTGAGCTCACTGTGTACCCCAGGCTGGCCTTGAACTTTCAGCTATCCTTCTGTCTCAGCCTCCGAGTACTGGGGTTACAGGAGTGCACCACCATGCTGGGCATTTTTGTTTTTTCTTTTTTGAGACAGCATCTCACTGTGTAGTTCAAATTGGCCTTGAACTCACTGTGTAGCCCAGGCTGGCCTCAAACTCATGGCAGTCCCCTAAGGGATTATAGGCATGTGCCACCCTGCCTGGCTAAGGCTCTCTTGCATTTTGTATAGGTCACCCAGAGCCTGGGGCCATTCGTGTCCCCCTGTGCTAAAGAGTGGGCAGGCCAGCCTTGCAGGCATCCCAGAAGCTAGGGATAGGGCAGGGCTCTGTGAGCAAAGAGGGCCTGGGGCAGGCCAGCTTTGCTATTGGTGGTTGCAGGACTTCGGGAAAATTCATTTCTTCCGGTAAGCCTCAGTCTCCTCAGCTGGGAAATGAAGAGAATAATCTTTGTCTCACCGAGGGAGGCTCTGTGGGGAACCTCTAAGTGCTGGGCCCAAGGCCCTGCCCTCCCTGGGGGATTCAGGAAGGTCCCTGCCTCTCCACCCCAGGGGCCGCAGCAGTAGCAGGCCGGGCTCCGTCCTGGGAGGGGCCCTCACTCCTTCAACCGCAGCCCTGCAGCCCACAAGGCCAAGACCCTGCAGAGCGGGGTGCACGTGCCAGGCCAGGGCAGCTGGGTGGGTACAGCTCCTGCTGGCCAGAGACACCCCACCCCCGTCTGCAAGCCTTTGCCCAGTCTTCGCGAGTATTGCGCAGGAGCCTGCACCCCAGTGAAGCGGCCTTGGGGCACCTCTGTGGGCACCGCCTTTTCTGGGTGGACAGAGGGGTGGGGGTGACTCCCTGAGGCCTTGATGGAGGTGTCTCTGTCTCGTGGTCGCTGTGCATGTTGTGGGTGTGAGTGTGACCGCAGGGTCGAGCACAGGGTGGACATGGGGCTGGGCCTCGCGTGGGTATTGGCTTCCTGTGGGCACGAGTGCCCTTTGGAAGAGGGGTGGGGGTTGAGCGTATTCCCCCTCCCAAGGGCGGACCGACCCGCTCTGTGGCTGCCTTGGGCGCTTGGGGGCCGGCCCCGCCCAAGCTCGTAGCCCCGCCTCCCGGTAGTGGCCCCGCCCCTTCTGCCGGCCCCGCCCTGCCCGGGACCCACCCCTGCCAGGTCCTCGTCCCACCCCACGGGAGAGACGTGGACCCCGCCCCAGTCCTAGCCCCTCCCTCAAGGCCCCGCCCCGGAGGAGCCCCGCCCCTCCCTGCCCCGCCCCCCGCCTGCGTTTGAGCTGGGCCGGTGCGGCGGCGCGCGCTCCACGCTGTCCCGCTCCGAGCAATGATTAACCCGGCGGGGCGGCCGGCGCTCGGCCCGGAGCGGAGGCAGGAGCCCAGGGCGGGACCCCGTGGGGCCGCTAGGCTTCCGGCTGTTGCCCAAGTTTCCTTGTAGAGCGCCCAGTGCCGGCCTGCCCGGCCGTGGTGTGGCGTGGCGTGGCGCGGCGCGCGCGTGGGCGCTGGCCGGCCGCCGGGCTCACCATGAGGACTCTCCGCAGGTTGAAGTTCATGAGTTCGCCCAGCCTCAGTGACCTGAGCAAGAGAGAGCCGGCCGCCGCCGGGGACGAGAGGGGCACGCAGCAGCGCCGGGCCTGTGCCAACGCCACCTGGAACAGGTGAGGGGAGCCGGGGGGGGGGGGGACCCGCCTGCCCGAGGGGTGCGCCCGAGGGAAGCTCTGCGCCTGGGACCGAGCAGCCAGCCAGGGAGGGCGACCCGCGCCGCCCCCGGCCCCCCCGCCTGCGCCTCACGCCCGGGGGAACCCGCCGGACAGCAGGAAGTGTCTCCCACTTCGCAGATGAGCAGACGCGCCCGGGCCCCAGCGGGAGCGCACTTCCTGTGCCCGCGTGGAGGATCGGTGGATGGGAGGCGCTGGTTCCCCTGGGGGTTCTGGGGCCTCCAGGCGGCCGCTTGGTGCGCCAGGGCCTGGCATTCCTCAGAGGACCCTCCCTCCCCGGGGCAAGCGACGCGGGGAGCCCCTCCCCCAGCCCTGACCCTGAGAACCAGAAAGGAGATGGCTTACATTGTGAAATTCCCCGTACTCTGCTCAGGGGCCTTTTTAGGAAAGGGCAGCTCCACCAAAAGGGACAGGGGCTGCTCAGGGTCTGCGGGTGCTGTCCCCACCCCCACAGGCGCCAGATGCTCCACCAGCTGTGGTCTAGGCCACCGGCTGTCACTTGGACACGTGTCTTTTCTGATCATCCACTCCTTCCCAGCATCCTGGTGGGCACCAGGCGCCAGCTGGGCCCCTGTGTATACTCAGGGACGAGGCAGGACAGGGTCAGTCTTGCTTATCTCCTGCCCTCCACCAAGTCTGAAACTGAACAAAATGGGGTGGGAGGCAGTAAGTGAAAAGGACCCTTGTCAGGGAGTCTCGTTGGCCTGAGTTTGCTCAGTGTCTGGTCTTTTCCCCGTTAAAGTGCTGAGGAGATGGAGGTCGTCTCCTACTTGTTTCTTGCTGTGCTTTAGTGAAAAGAGCCAGGCAGACTTAAGTTCAAATCCCATCTCTGCCTCTTTCCTGCTGTGTGTTTTGAGTGAATCAGTTAACATCTTTGGTCCTGTTTTATCTATAAAATGGGTAAATGATGGTCCCAGCTCATCATCAGGGGCTATTGTCCAGGTTAAATGTGGAAACGCGTACTGTAGCCCTTTGCATGGTGCCCAGTGTGTCATAGGTGCTCTGTGATGCAATTCGAGCTCAGACACCTTGGAGGACCAGTATACCTGTGGGGGTGGCACCTGAGAACACCTCAGCCAGTTCCCAGCTTTCACCAGGAGCAACTCCACGTGTTCCCTCCAGTCTGGGCTGGACTCCCCCTGGAGAGAGGGGAGAGCACACTGGCTGGGCCTCTGCTGAGGGGTGCTCAGCATCCCCTCTCCCAACCCTGCGTGACCCCACCCATGTCTTTCCCAGCCCAGGAAGCCCTTCGGGGAGGGGACCCTGAGCCCCTCCACTGGATTCTCACTTGGTGGCCTGGCAGACAGAAATCCAGGCCTCCTCCCCCATAGCGCCCCGAGGCCTCTTATCTCCACCCTCTGAACCCCATTAACCTCCATCACTGCTCAGGCCCCAGCCTGGCCCCATGAGGTGTTCCCCCTCCTTTGAGAGATGCACAGGGTACCCAGAGTGCCTGGGGACCTGCCCACAGCACCCATGCCCGGCAGCACACGGGACAGTAGGACCTGCACCTTGCCTCTGCTTCTGGCTGGTGCTGGCTGAGCCATGGAGAGCATGGTGCCTTTCTTGCCTCTCCCTGAGCCGAAATGGCAGGGTCCCTTCCTGCCTCCCTGTCCTCACCCCACAGCAGCCCTGTGCAGGGTCAGGGACAGCTATGTCCCTTGGGGTCTTGGCTTGCGGAGCTGTGGACTCCCCATTTTGCAGCCCCTTTTATCTGTGTGACTGCATTCATTCCGGGGCCTCGGGAACAGATGGCCCCCGACAGGGAAACCACAGCAGTGTGTCTGTGCCCCATCTGGAGGCCAGACTCTCAGAAGTGTGGCCAGGCTGTGCTCCCCGTCCTGGGGTTGGGGGTCCTTCTTTCCCACCACCAGCCCCTGGTGTCCTTGGCTTGTGGCAGCCTGGTCCCAGTCTCCGTCCTGTAAAGACACCAGTTGCTGCCTCCATACCAAGATCCATAGCTGTCACCTCTGCCCACACTTGTTTCCCAGTCAGGCCTGATGAATATCTGAGGGACATCGTTCTACCTGCCTCCGTGACCCTGGGCACACCCCCAAGTTCCCCACACCCATCTCCTCATCCAGATACGGCTTAAAAGTATGTAGCTTGCTCTGTTGTGAGTGGCACAGGGCACTCGGCCAGGCATTCATTCATCCCTCTGTCCGCCCTCTGCTGGCACCCTGCTGGGCCCAGGGCATGGGTTCAGCAGAGAACAGGGCTCCCGAGCCAGCCAGGAGGAGGAGCCAGGAAGTAAACAGGAGACAGGTCAGCAGAGGAGTAATTGCAGGTCACGGCTGGCACTGGAGAGATGAGCTAGTGACCCTGCTGGCTGGGGCACTGCCTCCTCCCCAGGAACACTGGGGCTTTGGGAAGCATTTTCGGTGGGGCGGATGCCAGGCCGTCTGCCGGCGGAGCCTCCTGCAGACTGTAAACCAGAGCCACCTGAGTCCTTTCCTATGCGTCTGCTGCCACTTCACTGGGTGGGTTTGGCCCCCTTCCCAGCCTGGGCCAGGCCTGGCACTGAGGTGTGTACCCTAGGGCGCTCCTGGGGTGGCAGGGAGACGGGGAACACAAGTCTCTGGAGGGCACACCTGCCACCCACCTGAGGTCCACGCTCCTCCTCTTCAAGGGGGGAATGGGTCCCTGTCTGTCCCTGCGTCTCCCTGGCAAACCCAGTTCACTCCCAACTGGGTCTGACCCCGTGTTCACCGGAGGCCTCTGGCTCTGTGAAGGTCATGCCCTCGAGCTGAGGGGCCACATCCGTCCTGAGTGGGGGAGAGGGAGGAGGTGGCCCCTGGGTGTGCCCTGGAGGACAGGAGGAGGAAGGCATCTAGGCACTGCAGGAGCTGGGCACAGGCATGGGATGTTGGAGGGGACCAGGTGGCTGGCCTTGTGACTCAGGGCCTGCCCCCTGCCTCCTGGCAGGAATGTGCTCTCCCAGCTGCACCTGCCCCCACCCAGGGGAGCTCCTGAGCACCCTCAGAAGATGCCTCACCCCTGGGGTGCTGAGGGACATGTGGCTATCCAAGCCTCCTTGAGCCAGTGTCCCTCAGGGGACCCCTCCCCACACAAGCCTTTCCATGGTGGGTGTTGGACCACGGGTGTCAGCATCAGGGAGCCCGGATGCCAAGAAGGGGGTGGTGTGCACCTCAGGCAGCAGGCAGAGGTGGGCCTTTCATTGTTCCCTCCATCTGCCTCTGGGGCTGGACTGTCTTCAGCCAGAAGAGGAAAGGGGCCAATCAGGATCCCCACTCACCTGAGGCCACAGCCAGAGACACAGGAGCCCATATCCCAGCTGGGCCCAGGGATGGTGGTGCTGACCGGAAGAGCCGGCTGTATTTTATAGCCAGTGGCCATCTCAGGTTGGGATGAGGCCAGGCCCTAAATGACCTTGTCTTCACTCCACTGGTCCTAGACAAAGATGCTGGGGCCCTGTCCACTCCAGCCACCAGCCCCAGCCCTCACAGAGTACCCTGGACCTCAGTCCCCCCAAGCACTGCTGAGCACCCAATCCCACAGACACCGGGGTACACATTCCTGCCTTAGCCTGCATCCCCGAAACCCTCAAGATGAGCTCGATACTCTCGTTTCATGGATGAGCCCACTAAGGCCCAAGAGGAGCTGGTACTGTCCAGGTCCAACCCCAAGCCTTCACTTTCGATATTAGCCTTTGGAGGTCTTAAAGGGTCAGAGGATGAGGGTCAAAGGCCTCGGGATGGAGTCCGTGAGGTCCACGTTGAACCCCAGTACCCTTTCCTGCTGCTCTGCATCACGCTGGGTCCTGAGCCCCTTTCTGGGACCAGTTGGGTGTAGTCAGCAGGAGCAGGGCCTCCGGGACCTCCATGGTCAGGATACATTGGGGTTTACACCTGGCAGAAGACTACAGATGCCCTCCAGTTAGGGCCTGGAGCTGGGGAGGCTGCGTGGGAGGGAGGCCCTGTGTCTGGGAGGCCTGGTGTAATCACAGGTCTGCTGGAGCATGCCAGAGGATCCCTCAGAGACAGTTCGATGGGGAAGCAGGGACTTGCAGGCGCCTCCCATGGGCCCGGAGGCGGAGGGTGAGCCAGGAGCCACAGGTGCCTCAGGAAGCTGGCAAAGACAGATGGGGACTGGGCCCCACCGACACCTCACTGTTAGCCAGATGGAGCTGACTTACAGCTGGCACCTTCGGGCTGGCCACAGGACCCCACGCCACAGGTGGGGCTTCCCTCTCTCCCTGCCAGTCAGAATCCACCCACAGCGGGAAGGGCAGGTCCACGGTGGCCTGGGGTGGCAGCGACAGGGGAAGGACAGCCACTGCACTGTCCCTGCACGCTGGCCACGTGGGTGCCTGCTGCCAGCCAGGGCCAGTGAGTCCCCCCAGGAGGGGCTCAAAATCCCCACCAGGCTCCTGGAGGATGAGGTCACTCCCTGCCCACCCTGGTTTGTTCCCTTGGGTCCTGACAGGGACAGAGGTTGGCTCATGGCAGAGCACTCGCCTAGTAGGCGCCAGGCCCTGGAATCCATCCCCAACACCAAACAAGAAAAAAAATCATCACGGGGTGTCCCAAGAGGAGCCAGGCGGTGGGGTCCAGGTCAGCCTCTCGGGGCACCGTGAGGAGGGGTCCCTAGCAGACTCTCTGTCACCTCTGGGTCCTCTGTGGCCCCGGCGGCCTGGTCCACAATGGGACAGGGGCCCAAGGTGGGGTCCATCTCCCCATGTCCCCTTACTTTGCCAGCGAGGGGCCAGTGACACCCCAGAGAACCCTCTTCCCACCCCGGTCAGGGTGGCCTCAGCCAGTGTCCCCAGGAGCCGCCATCACACCCCTCAGGGGCTCGGGCGCACCCTCCCAGCCAGCGTCCTGGGTGTCTCAGCTTCTCCCGGTTCTGTGCTCTCTGGGGGCCATCTGCAGACACCTCAACAGGCCTGCTGGGCTCTGGTCTGCAAGTTTCACTTCTCCCGGGGATGACAAGTCACATGAGGCCCGGAGCCTCCCGCCCCTCCTCTGCAAGTGCCACACTAGGTTTCTTTTGCTTACCCAGCAGGGACTTTGAAAAGAGCAGGAAGCAGCCCCACTGGGGCAACCATTGGTCTAGGGCGTTGAGGACACTGACCCAGGGCCCCATCCCAGCTCTGACTGCTGGGCACAGACTTGTAACTGGGCAAATCGCACAGATTCTCTGAGCTTAGTGTTTCCCACTGTCCTTGGGGTCTGACGTCCCCACCCCATCACAGGCTGACAGCTAGCAGGAGTGTGGGGAAGATACCTCAGCAGGCCTGGCTCACCCCTGTCACGCAAGCCCAGGGCCTCCTGCCTCCCATGGTTAGGCAGGCGCCATGCTCATCCCACCTCTGCATGCGTGGGGACACAGGCCCTGAGGCCGCACAGGGGCAGCGGGTCAGATCCACGCCTGCATCTGAGCTACCTGGAGCTGGAGGAAGCTGGGGCCATCAGGGTAGAAAGTGGGTGGTAGGGGTGACCAGGGTGGGGTTGGCAGTAAGCCACAGGCCACCTCCTCCCCAGGGGACCAGGGACAGGTGGGGCAGGAGGGAGGACCTTGTGCAGTCACCTCTGCTTAGGGACAGGTGTGGGCTGGGGTCCTTTCAGAGCATTTCATGGGGAGGGCTGAGGGGCTAGGGAAAGGCGGGTCCCTGAGAACAGCAGTACTAGAGGCCCCTGGATATCTCCCGCAATGGGATCTGGTCCTTCTGCTTTCTCCTACCTCAGCCTGCAGCTATGCTGGCCCCTCCGCCTACCCTCCCTCCCCCAGGCCCACCATGGGGCCCAGCCTTGGCCTGGGAGGGAGGCAGCTGCTCTGGACAGCTGCCTTTGCAGTGGCCCTTGGACACCCACGGATCTGTGACCTTTTTCAGTCTGCAGTGGGGAGTGGTCCCCTCCAGGACTTGGAACAGGTACTCTCCAGCCTGCTCATGAGCAAGCAGCTACACCTTGGGCCTAGCTTTTATCTTTCCAGCCCTCTGAGGGTCTGGGAAAGAGGGGCCCTGCCCTGCTGCCTGATCCTCCTGCCTCAGCCTCCATGCTGTGTGCCAGCATGCTGACAAGGGCATTTTCAGAGCTCTCAGAGGTGCAGTGTTTTTGCTCCCTGGGACCTGAATTTGGGGGGAGAGGGGAGGTGGAAAGGCCAGAGGCAGTGGATGTTGTGAAGGTTAGCCGGGAATGGTGCCACACACCTGGGATTGGAGTAGTTGGAAGGCTGAGGCAGGAGGATTGCCATGAGTTCGAGGCCAGCCTGGGGCACACAGGAAGTTCAAAGAACTACACAGCAACACCCCCTCTCACAAAACATTTAAATAAGATTGAGGTCAGTAGGATTTGGATGTGTCGTGGACAGGAGAGGCCAGCAGAGGGTCCCCAGTGTTTCTGGTCCAGCAGGAAGAAAGCAGTCAGCCAGGGTTTGACCACAGACTGTGCACAGGGGGCCTAGGTGACCTGGAGAGGTGACCAGGGCTGGGCTGCAGGGCCTCGGGCTCTCAGGAGGGGAGGCTGGTGGACACAGGCTGGGCCGTGGGTGTGGACGCCTCTCTCTCCCCACCCACAGCATCCACAACGGGGTGATAGCCGTCTTCCAGCGCAAGGGGCTGCCTGACCAGGAGCTCTTCAGCCTCAACGAGGGTGTGCGGTGAGTGCTGGGCCCAGACCCGGAGCCCCGGTGACCCCAGCCAGTCCTCCGGGCCTGGCCGTGCCTGGCCGTGCCGAAGGGGAAGTGGGTGGAGCACTGCCAGGGCATTTATCATGTCCAAGAGGAAGGACCCACCTGCTTAAACGCTGAGCGGCACCCGGAAGGGCACTCACCACCGCAGACACCCCTCATTTCCTGTGCCGAGCAGGAAGGGGGCTGTGAAGCAGCCAGGAGGGACAAACTAAGGTGGCCGTGGCTTCCAGTCATCCCTGTGGCTGAGGAGGCTGCAGCTCAGAGACCTCGAGCTGTTGCCCAGTCACAGAGCTGGGACAAGGAGGTGTTGACCTTCAGCCTGACCCACATTGGCCACTGGAATCCCTCCACTCAGGAGGCTGAGGCAGGAGAATTGCCTTGAGTTTGTGGCCAGCCTGGACTACGTAGTGAGACACTTGTCTCAAAAAACAAAACAGGCCGGGGATTTAGCTCAGTGGTTTCACCGCCTGCTGCGCAAGTGCAAGGACCTGAGTTCGATCCTCGGTACCAACAAACAAACAAAAAACAAAACAAAACAAAACAAACCAGCTCATTGGGAAAATAGGCAGTGAACCTTCCCCTTGCTATTCAGGGCAAGATGAAAGGGTAAGTGGAATAGGAGTCAGATTTTGCATGTGGACACCCCATACCCACTCAGTGGCCCTTACATAGGGTAAACTGAGGCCCAGGGAGGAAGGGGCCTGTCAGAGTGACAGAGCAGGAGCATGGTGCCTTCCCAGGCCTGACATGTGTCACTGTTTGTGGTGTTCTGCTTTTCTCTCATCTGGGCCCCACCGAGGGGGCGACCCACGCACACCATTTTCTAATACGCTCCTGCTCAAGGAAATGAGTTTGTAACAAGCTAAAGAGCCTGTTGGTGGTGTTATAACAACCACCCAAAAGAGTCAGGCACGGTGGTGCATGCCTGTAATCCCAGCACTCTGGGAGGCTGAAGCAGAAGGATTGCAAGTGCAAACCCAGCCTGGGCAACTCAGCAACTTCGGGAGACCCTGTGTCAGAATATAAAAATAAAAAGGTCTGGGGATGGAGCTCAGTGTAAAGGCCCTAGAGTCAGTCCATCAAAAAAAAGAGGAAATACTGTCAAATTGCCAAATTTCCAGCACATGGGCTGCTCACCCAGCACCCCCACCCCCACCCCAGGACCAGAGGTCACTGTTCCTGTGTACCCCTGTCCCTTTTCCTGCAGCCCCCGCCCTGGGCCACAGTCCTCCCTGGAGCATGAGCCTCCTGCCCAGGAAAACAGGCCGAGGGCAGGGCGCGGAGCCCGGAGCTCCAGACGTGGCTCACGGCTCATGCACAGGGAAGGTAAGCGTAACTGAAGACGCTGACGTCCTTGTCCTTCTGCCCTCTGTGTATATGTTTATATCTACACAGTTGTGGCTGACTCAGCAGCAGGAACACCAAGAAATGCGTCACTCAAGGCCATTTCATTGTGCGCCTACGTCACAGCAGTCACAGTCCCTGCATCCCAGCCTGTGCAGGGCGTCATTGCCCAGTGCTGGCTGTGGGCCATTGTACCCAAGCAGAACAGAACAGTGCAGTGACAATAAATACAGGCTGGCCTCGGGGCACCACTGTTGGGTCTGCAGCTACTTTCGATGTGCAGTGCCTGGCTGGATGTGAATTTTCACTGAGATCGAATTCACTTGCCATGAGGGTTCAGCCTTTTGCACTGTGTAGTTCAGTGGGTTTTAGCTAGCTGGTCCCCGCTCTCCGCATTTCGGACATTTCCAGTCTGTGGGCTCAGGCACCATGTGAGTTTTGTGCCTGGCTTCTCTCACCCAGAAGCTCTTTGAGGCTCCTGAGACCCAGAGTGTGTGTTGTGCCTGTTTCTGTTGATGACCACCAGTGCCAAAGGTGTCGCTTCTGCCGCTCTCTCAGGGACACACAGGTGCCTCGGGTAGCCTAGTGTAGGGGCAGGGACTGCTGAGTCCCCTGGTGCTATTTTGGGGAGCCACCTGCTCCTTTCCACTGCAGCTGCTCCCCTTACAATGTGCTGGGTCCCCACACGCTCGCAGCCACCTGTTGTTGTCCAGTTCGGGGTTCCAGCAGCTAGTGGGTGTGCACTTCCCTGGGACCGTGGTGTGGGTCGTCTCCGAGGGGCTGATGGCCACTTCGAGTCTGTGGAGAAATGTGTCCTCATCCCTGCCCCTGCGGTGCTCAGGTGCTCGGGTTGCCCCGGCTGTGAGCTGTAAGCCTGCCAGGTCCCCAAGTCGGGACCTCACCTGTGCTGAGCCACACACGTGCCCCTCTCCATGGCGCCCATTGAGGCACAGGGTTTGGTTTTGGGGAGCTCCGCTGTCTGGCATTTCTCTCAGACCCCTTCCTTTGACCACCCCTCTTGACACTTCGCATGATAGTTGTTAACAGTTGGTGCCAGATGTGATGGCGCACACCTGCAATCCCAGCACTCTGGGAGGCTGAGGCAGGAGGATCACAAGTTCAAGCCCAGCCTGGAGAAAACCCTCAGGGAGCAGAAAAGCCTGGGTGGCAGCAGGCGCCCGCTGGGGACCCTCATCTCTCCTGACTCATTGGGTTTTTTGGTGATTGTCCTTGAGGAGACACGCTGTGACCCTCTTCTTGGAGCCTGGGCCCCAGGTGCCCTGGTGGAGCCCAGCTGTGGAGGCATCTTCCCTGTGCCCTTCGGCCTGGCTGCTCTGTGCTCTGTGTACCGAGCCTGGGGAGCTGCTGGCTTTGCTCCCGTGAGGATCCCCTCCTCCTCCTGCCTGCAGCTGTGTGGTGATCACCTGGCCCTGCCACCCTGGGGACAGCGCCAGGTCCCCTTACCATCTTGGGACACCTCGACTCCCTGCTGCACTTTGCTGCTGGCGGGCACCCACACCCCCCTTCCCCCTTCCTCTTGCATTCCCAGCATGCACAGGGCTGGCTGGTCCCCCCAGCCCCAGTGTGGCCCAGCACCTTGCTGTCCAGGAGCCCATGGGTGGCGAACCTGTAGCACATGTGCCCTGTTGGGTTGTTTATATCATTGAAAGCACTGAAAGGTTCACCATCACTGGTTTAAGCTATGAGTTTCTTGTTCCCTGTAGGCTGGGTGGACCCCTCCTAAGCTCCTAGGAAGGATGAGAGGTCTGGGGTTTCTTTTTTTTTTTTGGTACGAAAGATTGAACTCAGGACCTTGTGCTTGCAAGGCAGACAGTGGCACCATTGAGCTAAATCCCCGGCCCAGGTCTGGGGTTTCTTTGAGACAGAGTCTCTGTGTTGCTCAAGCTGTCCCTCAACTCCTGGGCTCAAACAGTCCTGCCTCACCCTCCTGAGTGGGTGGGACAACAGGTATTCACCACCATGCTTTGGCTGTTGCTTTGGTTTGCATTTTGTTTTGTTTTTGTGACAGCATCTTACTATGCCGTTCAGGCTGGCCTCAAATTTGTGGTGATCCTCCTGCCTCTGCGTTCCAAGTGCTGGGATTACAGGCATGCACCACCATACCTGGTTTGGCTGTCTGTTTTTAATCCACAGATCTAGGGACCCAACCTTGGGTTCTGTGGCTTCTCCTCTGACCTCATTAGGTGCCCTCCCTGTGCCTCAGTTTCTCCATCTGAAAAATGAAAGTAGTTCCTACCTTGCCTGTGCGGGTGGAGTTGCTGTATTCGGCACCCTCTCCTGTCTGAAATCTGGGCTCCCAGGGTGCTGTGGGCTGCCAGATGAAAGTCTCCCGAGTGTGTATTCAACATACACTGTGAGTACCTACTACGAGCAGGCTCTGGAGGTGCTGCCCAAACTCTAAGCTCCTGTGGCGACTGGGTGACCAGGGTGTGGGAGCCACCTCCATCACAATGGCTGAGCACTGGTGACCTGGCCCCATCTCCCCAAAATCTCAGGGCTTCCAGCCCCAGGCCTCCCAGGTTGGTGGGGACGGTTAGCCCTGAGCTGGGGCCCAGCTTGCAGCTCCTCTGCAGAGTGTAGCTGCCCCAAAGGGCCTTGGGGACCAGAGCGCCCACTTCCGGTGTGTAGGGCAAGCTCAGTTTACCACCACCTGCCCCACCCCCAGTCCAAGATTAGGGGCAGAAAGAGTTCATTGTTACCCTCTGACTCCTGGGGGTCAGGACACAGCAGAAACGGTGGGCGTCCTGCAGAAATGGAGCTTCGGGGGCTTCTTCTTCCATGTGTTGCTTTTGCCAAATCCTACAAGTTGTCTTTTTGTTCAGCAAGACCGTGTGTGTTGAAACTGTAAAGCAATCTTATTAATCCATGGGGAAATTATGATTGCTCCATGATCCTTAAAAACTTTTGTCACAACATTAAAGCCTATCGTTCTGTTTACTATAAATGTTTTGAGAAATGAAAAACAAAAAGTAAATATTTGCTTGGGATGTTGTATTTAAGACGTTAAAAACATTCAGAAGGGTTTTCTTTGTTTTAAAACATCACCAAGAGTCACTTGAACAGTATTAGCGTGGATTATTTTGCTTTTCTCTTCCTTTTTTTTACAGAACTAACTTGGCTTTAGCCTAGCTTTCCTATTTTTTTTTTTTTTTTTTTGGTACCAGGGATTGAACTCCGGTCCTTACGCTTGCACAGCTGGCAGCGAAACCACTGGGCTAAATCCCCGGGCCCTGATTTTAGCCTAGTTAGTCCCATTGTACTTCTGACCTACAGAACTATAAGACAATAAATCTGTTTTATTAAAATTAACTTTATTGGTGCTTTTCTCTTCGTTTTCCTTTGAGACTAGAGCTTACTAAATTGCCCAGGCTGGCCTCAAACTTGGCCTGCCTCCTACCTCAGCCTCCCAGAGCACTTGGCAAAGGACTCTCACTTTTCTTTTCTCTCTCTCCGTTTTGTTTTTTTTTTTGAGACAAGGTCTCACTGTGTAGCCCAGGCTGGCCTTGAACTTCTGGCAGTTCTCCTGCCTCAGCCTCCCGAGTGCTGGGATTACAGGCATGCACCATCACACCTGGCTATCACTTTTCATTTATGAGTTAGCCCAGGCTTTCACCTTAAGATTTTTCAGCAATAAGAGGTGCTTAATTGCACCTGTGCAAGTGTTTTCACATTCAGTACAATAATTAATAAATGACAAGAGCCATTCGTCATAGGACAGGTGTTGTGTGCCTTGGTTTTGCCCAGCAGTCAGCTGATGAGGGTCCCGGGCACCTGCAGGGGGCGCCAGGCTGAGCGGTGAGGCGGCAACGCAGCCACACACTTTGCTGACTGGGCTGAACTGACCGCAGGTGCTTGGGCCCAATCACAGAGCAGCTCTGAAAGACGTGCCGTGATTGGTTATGAGTCCTGAGGCCCATCTGTTACCTGTGTTGTGATTGGTGGCCTGGAAGCCAGCGGTAGCGATCCTACTTTACGATTTTAGCGCTATGGGAACTGAAATTTGAACGGTATTGTCGGGCAGGTGTTCCTCAGACCCTGTTTACTGAAATTCTTGTATATCAGAACCATGTAAAGTGAGAACAGCCTGCAACTCAGGACTGGCTAGAAAGTTCCCCTAATGGAAACAGCAGGGTAAAAATTAGAGAGTGGCTCAGCGGCCAGTGCCTTCAGCCTGCAGTTGGCATGAAATCTGCCCCCGGTCCCTTCCTCTGTACCAGGCCGAGCAGGTGGGTCCCCGCTGCCCTGGTCCCTGCTCACTGTCATTTCTCCTCCCACGCAGGCAGCTGCTGAAGACAGAGCTGGGGTCCTTCTTCACCGAGTACCTGCAGGTGGGTGGCCTTGCTGGACAGAAGGGACAGGGGCACCTGCTCCTAGTGAGGATGGTGGCCATGGTATCATCTCGCCCAAGGCCTCTGTCCCAGCACTGCATGGCCTTTTGTGTCTGACTTCTTCCCCTGGGTGTCATGTTTTAAAGTGTGCACGTTGCAGCAGGCGGTGCCTCCACATTCCCCTTTATGGGTGGACATCATTCCCCTGTATAGTCGCCCTGTACTTCTTTATGCACAGTCACTGCATGGACACTGGGTTGTCACCACCTCAGCCAATGTGCCCAGTGCTGAGGCTGCCAGCTTCCACGCTCAGCTAAGCTGCCCGTCCTGTGCACAGGTCCCTGTGTGGCTGGGGTGACAGCCCAGTTGGTGCTGCACCTCCCGCTTGCTTCGGTGTCCTCTTCACCAGGACTCCTGGTGTGCGGCCTGTTTCTCAGGGTCCCTGTGGCCACCTCCCATCCCATAACAACCTGAGCGGGGTCCTGCTTGGTGCAGGTCCAGGCTTTGCACTGGGCGAGAGGATGTGGACACTTGGGGTTCTATGGGGCAGTGACTGTACCTCATGTTTGCTTTCAGAACCAGCTGCTGACAAAAGGCATGGTCATTCTTCGGGACAAGATCCGCTTCTATGAGGGTGAGTGGTACACCCCATTCTATGAGGGTGGGCGTGCTGCACCCTGTGCTGGGTGCCTCGGGCTAGGGGTGCTGTAAATGCCCTTGGACCCTAGGGCTCCGGAGGGCTCTCTGGTCAGGAGGGCTGGAAGGGGGTCAGCAGCAGGACTGAGGTCTCACTGAGAAAGGACTTGGGAGAGTCTGTCCCTCACTCGGGCACCCAGGAAGGCCCTTGCTCCCCCTCACTGCAATGAGGACCCTCTGTCCTGGTAACTCTTGTCCACGGACGGGAGAAGCCACCTCAGGGTCTCAGAGGATTGGAGAGGGACAGGTTGAGGGTCTAGGGGATCGCAGGAGAACTGGTTAGGAACAAGGTCGCCCTGATATTCATAAAGGATAGGGCAGGTCCAGGGAAGCACACAGCCACCAGATGAGGCCTTCCGGTCCTTGTTCCCAGATGGGGACAACACAGTGGAAATGGGCAGTTTGTCTGTGGTGACACTGCAGGGACAGGCAAAGGCAGGACTTGGTCCTGGGCCTGTCTGACTCCAAGCCACACCCCCTGGCCCTTGCTGAGCCTGTGGCCCCAGTGGCTTTGCTGCCCAGAGATCATCAGTTGATAGAGGCCCTGACTACCTCGGGGGAGTCCCAGGCCCCGGGGGAGTTGCCCAGGTGTGCACTCCTACCTGTGTGTGGGGTCCTCTGTGTGGTCCTGCTGTGCTCCAGCCCAAGCTGGCTCAAGCACCTCGGGAATTATTGAGCATGCTGTGTGTGCTGGGCCCTGTGTGTGCGCACCTTGCTGGGCTCCGCACCAGGTGTTTACACCTGCTGCCCACAGATGCTCCGAGCCGGAGGGAGAGGCACCAAGCACCCTGCCCTCACCCAGGCTCCTCCTCAAGCCTTCACTCAATCCGGGAGCCAGGATCTCAGCCCAGCTCAGAGGAGGAACTCAGAGCCAGTTGTCCTGTGTTCCTCCCTCACCCCCAGTGCACGTGCTGGGCAGTGCCAGCTGAGGCATGAGCATGGGAAAGGCCCAAGCACAGCCAGGGGGTTGAGGGTCAGGACGGCCTCGAGCGGTGGCCTTGAGCCCTGGCACCTGGGGAGGGGAGGAGCCATCCCTTGCCCCCCCGACTCCACACATTCCCTCGGTGCCTGCGCCCACCACCCAGCCGCTGGGCATGGGGTCCTCAGAGAAGGGTGACTTTGTGCAGCCTGGGGGAGCTCTGTGTCCAGTGCCACGTCCTCCCATGCGGGTCCACTGTGGGTGGCAGGGATGAGGATGGCCCAGGAAGCCTGAGTTGAGCAGCCTAGGCCCTGGGGCAGGCAGCGAGCTCCCAGCTGGAGGCCACCAGCACATTCTGTCCTCTCTGGCCTGGAGTTCCTGTCACCGCACCGTAGGGTGGAGGACACTCTCCATGTACAGGGTGCTCACTGCCTGTTGGGCCCTGGTGTCTAGGGACCCAGTGGTGGACCAGACAGTGCCAGTCCAATGGGCTGAATGGCAGTAGGGACAGCAGGTGCTGCTCTGAGCCTGGGCCTTGGAGCTGCCTTGTCCTAGCACTTCCCTGGGGCCACACTGGGGGCAGGGTGAGGGCACCACCCCCATCCCCCTTCCCCGCATTGGGGAAAAGGCTGGTGGCGTCCAGGAAGCAGCCTGTGGTCCCCTGCCACATGGACTGTGTGGCCAAGCCACTGCCTGATGCCCTGGTCCTGCTCCCCCGGCCCCACTTGTGGCCTCTGTCTTCACTGTCCCTGGGGCCCCTGAGTGGCTGTGAGATCCTGTGGCTCCATGCTCGACATCTGCTTCCCCCAGTTTCCGCCCGTGGACTGGGGAATGGCCTGCTCAGCGGAACCCTGCCTGGCGGACACCCAGGGCCAGCCCACGGCCAGTGGGGACTGAGCATCCTTTCTTCCTGCGGGTCGGCGGGGACTGAAGGGGCTCTGTGTGCAGGCCCGTCCCCCAGGGCAGCGAGCGTCCGCCTGCCGGTCTGTTGCGCCCGCCTCACCCCCAGCCAGGTGTGGGCCACCCGCGGAGGCTGGGCTGCTGGATGGGACTCCTGGGGAGACAGACCCCAGGGGAAGTTAGGAGGGGCTAGTCCCAGGCCCCCATCTGGCCTCCGTGTTCCCACAGAGTTGGGGAAGCAGCTGGTGGCTCTCGGAGACCCTTCCTCCCTTGCTCGGAGCCCACCGTGGGGCGGCTGAGGCACCGGAGCCCTTGCTCGGGGACTTCAGCAGTCCTGAGGCCACAGGTGCCCGCAAAGCTGTCCGTGCACCCTTTTCTCTGCCTGCGTTGGGGGTCCACAGCCAAGACACATGCCCGCAACAGCCCCTCTGGGGAGCCATTCCCTAAATCGGGCCTGTCCTGCCCCTCTCCTTGCGTGGGGCGGGGTGCTGCTGTTGGGGCCACTCCAGCTCTCCCAGACCCACCCCTGGCAGGGAGGCAGGCAGAGTGGCCTGGCGCTGGGGGAGCTGGCCTGGAGCCATAGCCTGGGTCACTGACCCCAGAGGGCATCCCTTACGTTTGTCCCCCCGGGCACCATCTGAGTCCCTGTCCCCGCCCCCCGATGGGTCTGGGAGCTGTTGGGAATCAGTTGGGTCCCCGGTGCCCAGTATCAAACTGGCCCAGGACGGGTGACCTGTAAATGCTTGTTGGGTAGACAGACGAGTGGGCAGGTGGGGTGGGTGGGTGGACCCCTCAGCTGCTGGGCTGGGGTTAGGAGGGTCTGGCGACAGCCTCTCTGTGGCACCAGAGGCAGCGTGGGCAGCCCCAGCACAGAGGAGGAACTGACCACCAGTGTTCACAGCACCAGATCCTAGGCTGAGCACCTCATGGCTTAGTGTCAGTGAGTCTGCCAGGTTGGGAGGTGACCCTGCCACCGTCCCGTTCCACAGCCAGGCACACTGAGGTGCAGAGCAGCCGAGTGACAGACAGGATCAGCCATGGGGCTGCTGGGGGGCGGGCAGACATCGCCCTTGGCAGGCGCCTGTGGCTCAGTGCAGGGCTGGCCCCTTGTCCTGGGTGCATGGCAAGGGGCGGGCACGTGGTAATGGCTCCCTGTCCAACAGGACAGAAGCTGCTGGACTCACTGGCGGAGACCTGGGACTTTTTCTTCAGCGACGTGCTCCCCACACTGCAGGCCATCTTCTACCCCGTGCAGGTGCGGGAGGGCAGTGCCATGGTGCCAGGCCAGCCTGGCCTCGCTGGGAGGGAGGCTGCCAGGCGGGGTGGAGCGGGCACTGCTGTGCTGCACTGCTCTGTGTGCGCAGGGCTGTTCGAACCACACTCGCTCCCCGGGCCATGCAGGGCTCTGTGCACGGAAACCCTTTCCTTGGGGGAGGAAACCCAAAGGGCCTTCGCCTGGAACAGGGCCATCTGGGGTGGGGCCTGAGGGTCACAGCACTGACTGAGCAGGCGGGCGGAGGCGAGTTGTCCTGCTCACTGCACACTGTCTCCAGGGGAAGGAGCCTTCGGTGCGCCAGCTGGCCCTGCTGCACTTCCGCAACACCATCACCCTGAGCGTGAAGCTGGAGGACGCGCTGGCCCGTGCCCACGCCCGCGTGCCACCTGCCATCGTGCAGATGCTGCTGGTGCTGCAGGTAGAGGTGCCGCAGACAGAGCCTGTGTGGGGAGTTGGGGACCTAGGGTGGGAGAGGCGGGCAGGGAAGACGTCAGGCCAGGCTGTGCGTGCCTGGGGCTGTGAAGGGCACTGTGGTGGTTCCTCCAGGACACTGGGACAGTTGCTGAGGCCGTGGGCACCGTACCACATGCACACACAGTAGCTGCGGTCGATCCGCCCAGGCGGCTTTCATAGCCAGGGTGGCTCTGGGGAAGGGGGTGCTGCTGGCAGCCCACACACAGCAACTGGGGCCTGGGTACCTATCCCATACGGGGTGAGGGCCAGCAGCAGCGGATGTCACCATAGCCTGTTTCCCATGGCCTGCGGGGAGTACAGTGGCTGAAGGTGCCAGTCTGTCCCCGGGTGCAGGACCGGTGAGGGGGGAAAGAGTCGATGCTTGCTGGGGCCCACTGGGCCAGCCCCCCTGATTCTCAGGTGCTAAAGCCCTGCATGTTGTCCTGAGCCCCATGTGTATGGGATCCCTTTAGGGTCAGCCCCGGGGAAGAGGGTGCCTGGGAAATCGCAGAGCCAGGAGGAGCTGGAGTGTGAAGAGGTGTGGAGCACCCTGGCAGCCCAGCTGGATGCCTGCCTGCGGGTGGGATTTCCAGGGACCTCGGGCCTGGCCTGGCTGTGGGGCACCTGGTCCTCGATGTCTCCATCTGTTTGACAGCAAAACCTCCTACCTGGCAGACGGGTGTGAGGGCCATGGGGAGAAATCCCAGGAAAATCCCCCCGTGGGCTCCCCCAGTGGTTCTGGGCTGGGTTGTACCCAGAAAGGGGTCGGCCTGGTGAAGACCGGGGGAGGCAGGCAGGGCCCGGGGCTGCTGCCCCCTGGTGGCTGCTGCACCTCATGCAGCTTCCCCGCTGGGCTTCACGGGCCCCCAGACTGAGCCTTTGCTCTTGCCCAGAAGCCTCTGCCGTGGTCCCCACTTTGAATGATCTGTGTGTCACTTTTTTCATTGCTGGACACAGGACCTGACACCCATGACTTGAAAGAAAGGAGTTTAATCTGGCTCACAGTTTCAGGGGATTCAGTCCATGGTCGGCTGCTCTAGGAGCAGCATGGTGGAAGGGCTTGGTGGAGCAAAGCTTCTCAGTTCATGGGGGCCAGGACGCAGAGCAGGGAACCATGCCAGAGAGAAAGGGGCAGGGAGCAGACAGAGCACCCGAGGTCACACCTCCATCACCCCCCAGACACTCCCAGGAGTGAGCCCACCCAAAGGGCTCCCAAGCCAATCCGGTTGACACAGTCAAGCTTACCCATCACAGATGACCTTGTCTAGCCCCTGGTGAGCCTGTCCCAGTGAATCGGCCCCTTGCTATCTTTGTCTTGAGTGGGCCGATTCAGCCCCAGCACCACAGCTCCTTCTCAGGAGCCTCAACACAGGGCAGGGGACGCGACTCATACAGGTCCTCCAGGTGAATGGCACAAGGTCCATAAGACATACGGCCCAGCTCAGGAAGTGGAAGGCTATCTGCCTCTCCACTGCGGTGGGCAGAGATGGCCCAAGGATTGTGGGAACCCCACCCCTGTGCCGAAGTCCTGGCCAGGCCCAGGAGTCTCCGCCAACTGGGCCACACTGGGCGGCAGGTGACTTCCATCCCCAGGTGAGTCACGGGGCCGTGTCTGGCCTGGTGCCAGGCCAAACTCTGGCTGTCACCTCTTGCTGGCATGACTCTCACTTAGCATTCTCCCCAAGGGTCAGCAGCAGGCAGCCCTGAGGCTTGCTGTCTGCATTCATTCATTCACACACTGATCGTTTAGCAAGCGCTCATTGGAGCTGCCCTCTCGGTCCTCTGCCAAGTGCTGGGATGAAGGGTGCACAGATCAGCCCAATGCTTGGGGAGCACACAGGTGGCCCATGCGCAGCCTCCTTCCTTAATCCCAGGTGCTAGGAAGTGGCTTCAGTAGTCCAGTGGGTGGACTGGGAGCCGGCCCAGGAGCATCCCAGGAGGGACAGGAAGGGCTGAGCAGTGGGGAGGAGGTGGTGCTGCCCAGGGCCTTTAGGACACTGCATCCAGGGCCCTGTGGGTGGACTGCAGGAGGCCTGGCCTTCTCTGTCCACAGTGCCCTTGGCATGGGCCATCCAGACCACAGCGGCTGGCAGTGGGTAGCACAGAGGGTGCTGGAGCGGCAGGGTGGGAGGGCAGGAAGGTTGCTGTGGGAATGGAGGAGGCAGAAGTATGTGATCCCCTGCCCCTTGTTCTCTTGCAGGGTGTGCACGAAGCCCGGGGTGCGACTGATGACTACCTGCGCCTGGAAACGCTGGTCCAGAAGGTGGTGTCGCCGTACCTGGGCACCTACGGCCTCTACTCCAGCGAGGGCCCCTTTGTCCACTCCTGCATCTTGGGTAGGGGTTGCCTGGGCCCTGGGCAGGGGTGGGGTGACCATAGGCCCCGCCCACCTGTGAACAGATAGGCAAACTAAGGCCCACAGCTGCGTGGTGGCAGGACCAGGGTCCCCCTGGGACAACATCAGTCCTGCAGCAAACCCACCAGCTGTTGAGCTGGGCACACAGGGATAGGACAGGGAGGGCTTTCAGATTCACGAGCAGCCACATGGTGACACCCGAGAAGCCCACAGGTCTCCCCATTCCCAGAAGGTCAGCCAGGCTCAGTCTAGAAGGCACAGCTCGTGCAAATGCCCAGGGCCTGAGGAATTTCTACTCTTAACTAGGGAGCCACATCAGGGATGGGGAGGAGATGCCAAGCCCTGTGGAGCGGTGACCTGGGGCGGCCTCAAGTGTCCACCAGAGCTGCTGCGTTGCTCCTTTGGTTCACCTTGAAACGTCACTTGGTCACCAGGGACCAAGCCCCACCCTCCCGGGACCTGGTCCAGCAGGAATGGTGGATGACTTGAGTCCCCACAGTGACCACAGGGTGGAGGGTAGGGAGCATCCTGGCCTAGGGGCAGCAGCAGGGCAAGGACCACTTGGGAATCCACAGATCTGGAGCCTGTGCCTCTCTGCTGGACAGAACCCCTTCCCCCACCGGGGGACTCAGGCAGGTCCCGCAGCCAGTGAGCACGGCCCTTCCCAGGCCCATGTGCCCCTGGACCCTAGACCAGGGGATCCCAACCTCTCCCCGGGCCGCTCCATCCAGGAAAGGCTACTAGCTGTGCTCTGCCCTGCCACCTTGTGGCAACTCTGGGAACTGCATGGTCCTCACCTCTGCCCTGGACCCTGCAGTCCATTGCCCTCCACTCCAGCCAGTGAGGCCTTATAGCCCTTGCCATGGGCTCCCACCACAGTCAGAACAATACCTCCCCCCTGACAGTTCCCGCCAGCCCCTTGTCACCCACCTCCTTGGAGCCCATGCCCCCACCCACCCCTACAACTCACCCTGTGAGTTCGTCCCCCGACCCCTGGGACACAAGGCCTGGGAGTCCAGGAGCTGAGTCTGCTTAGGGAAATGCCAGCTCCTAAGATTCCTAGATTGCCCCAGCAGGGGAACTGAGCACAGAGCACCGATGTCGCTGACACAGGTGTAGATGTGAACCTGGGCAACTGACTCGAGGCCCTGCAGCCCAGCCAGGCTGAGGGTGGCAGCTGCATCCCTTGCGGGGAGGTGGCCCGAGCGCTCTCCCTGACTGAGGGGCTGGGCACATGTCCGTGCAGGTGTGCGGGAGCCCTGGTGTGACCTCGAGCCTCTCCCTGCAGAGAAGCGCCTCCTGCGCTGCTCCCACTCTGGCGACGTCCTGGCCAAGAACCCTGTGGTGCGCTCCAAGAGCTACAACACTCCGCTGCTGAACCCCGTGGCCGAGCACGAGGCGGAGGGGATGGCGGGCAGCAACACGAGCATCCGCCGGCACTCAGTGTCCGAGATGACGTCCTGCCCTGAGCCCCAGGGCTTCACTGATGCTCCCGGCCAGGGCCCCTCAGGGGCCTTCAGGTCACCCCCGACGCCTCACTCGGGGCCCTGCCCCAGCAGACTGTACCCCTCCGCCCAGCCCCCCAAGCCCGGCCCGGCCCTCAGCTCGCCGCCCACCTCCAGCCCTGAGACCCTGGTGGACCAGACCCTGGAGTCGGTGGACTCGGACTCTGAGGGCATCTTCATCGACTTTGGCCGGGGTGGCGGCTCCAGCGTGTCCGACTTCGAGGGGCCTGGTGGCCAGCAGAGCATCGTGTGAGTGGCAGGGCCAGCAGAGCCTTTAACTGGCCCTGCTTGAGTGCGTGTCCGCGTGGAGTGTGCGTGAGTGTGTGCGAGACTTTTCTACTCCCCCACTCCGCTGGCCCCCAGCAACCTCATCACTGCCTCGGCCACTTTCTGCTCCCGGCCGGCGAAAGAGCTGTTGTCGGGTGTCACCAGGTGCATAGCGAGCGTCTGAAATGGATGAGGTCGTGCGCCCCTACCTGCCAAGCCAGCAGCGTCTGCGCCCCTCACAGAGACTGAGTTGGTGGCACCTGCCTGCACTGCCCGGCTCGGCCCCCAGGAGGCAGGGCCCTGCTCTGACCCTTGTCCTCGGGCCACGGCCTGCCCTCCCTCTGCCTCAGGTGGCCCCTGGGACAGGCGAGGGTGGAATAAAATGTGTCTGCCCACTCTGTGGCTGTCTCGCCCTACATCCTGTGGTGTCGCAGCTCTCAGAAGCCCCTCCCCACCTGTGGAAGGCACATCCTGTGCTGTGGCCCAGCCAGCCCCGGCCGGCCGTCCAGGCATTGCTTGGCTTCTGCATAGGACCCCTACGGGGTGGGGCCAGGGAAGCTCCTCTCCAGGCTGTGTGTGTGAGCATCTGTCCAGGTGTGAGTGCGTGTGCAATCATGCGATTGTGTATTTGTATACAAGCCGCGTGTACATGTGCACGACATGAATCTGTATGTGAGAGATAGGAGCTAAAGCCCAGCCCTCATCCAGTGTTCTGATGCCACCATGGGGTCAAGGCAGCAAGCTTTCCAGCAGCCATCCTGGCATAGAACTGGGACCCAGGCCCATGTGGGCAGAGAGAGGCCAGGCCTCGGGGCACAGGTGGCCAGCTGCCGGGGGCTGGGACCAGTGTGGGCTAGACCTGCCCTTGAAGGTAACCGGGACTCAAGCTCCCTGGCCTGTCTCTTGTTCTGTGTGTGGCAGTGCCACAGGCCAAGGGGACCAGGCGGCTCTGGACTAAGCTGTGTGTCAGGTGGAGGTAACCAGGAGAACATCCCAGATTCAGGGAGAGGGAATGAGAAGGGAGGAGTGGAGCGAGCTGTTGTGGGCACGTGGGGGTGTATTTTGTCCATGTGCACAGGCGGGGCCGCCAAGCCAGCTCTGCCCCGGGGGCCCTGGGCAGCAGCGGGGCGCATGAGGGCACTGGGCGGGTCATGCAAGCCCTCTGCCTCTCCCCAGCCAGCCAGGCTGCAGGAAGCCCAGCTGGAGCCACTGTGTGCCGGGGTTGCTGTCGGGGGAGGTGGCCTGGCAAGGCAACCCCCACAAGAGCCACAGGGAGGAGGAGGCAGAGTGGCTGGCCCTGGGGACCTGTCTGAGGCAGAGCGAGTGGAGGTGTCAGGGTCCTCCAGGTTGCAGCCTGTCCCGAGGTGGAGAGAGAAGGAGGAGAAAGCATCTGAAGGAGTCATCAGTGCTGCACAGCCTCAATCCTCAACTCCAAGCGAGGCCACCCTGGGCTTGAGCTCAGGGTAGGAGGACAGGTGGGACATGCCAGTCCAGCATGCCGTGGGTGGGTCAGCAAGAGCAGAGCACGGTTATCTGGGGCCGCACATGAGAGCCTTGTCCCCACAGCTGCAGGGTCCACTAGGGAGGGGGTACTCAGGAAAGCCCAGATGGGCTTCTGAGGCCTTGCTTGAACCCTTCCCAGAGCTGACATTTTAGGTGCCTGTGTATTGTGTCGTGCACCTGTGTGTGTGTGTGAGAGAGAGAGAGAGACACGGAGGCTCCTTGGCACCTCTCCACGCCTCCTCCCTTAAGGAGTGTGCTCTGACTCCACTGCCTCATGGGACCCCTCTGGGAAGCCCAAGTGGAGGAGAGCAGTGTTTTAGTGGGGGCACCTGGAGCCCAGCCCAGGAGAGCTCAGCAGAGATGCCAGGAGAAGCAGGACCCAGCGGGTGGGGTGGAGGAATCTGCTCCAGGGACAGGGCCATCACAAACTGCCGCTAAGACCCTTAAAATCACCAGTGCTCTTCCAGGTGCCCCTGCTCTCTATGTCCTGTCTTCTGCTGATTGGGAGGGAGGTGAGGATCCCGGCTCTGGCCATTAAGTCCTGAGCCAAGGAGATGCAGTCTTTGGAGTTGGAGCAGTTTGTTGTCAGGTAGAGCCCTTGAGGGGACAGAACCCCAGGTAGAAGCTAGACACACGGCCTTTGTGTGACGTCGGCCTGTTTGATGGGAGCGCCGGAGTCTGGGGGATGCTTGTTACGGCAGCATTACCTGCCCTGGCCTGACTATGCATGAGTCTACCGGGACACTGGAGGCAGCAGGCCTGAAGGGTCATCCAGGATCCTGCATTGTATGTTCTCAGCATCTGGGACCCTGGCAGGCAGAGCCAGGCCTCCAGTGTGATTCAGAATTGGTTACTTTGTGACCTTGTGAGGGTTACCCAGCCCTGGTCTCTTCATCTGTAGCAAGGATCTTTCCAAATACAGAGTCTGACAGGTGGTGTTTCTTTCTTTTTTTTTTTTTTGATACCGAGGATTGAACTCAGGTCCTTGTGCTTGCAGGGCAGGCGGTGAACCCACTGAGCTAAATCCCCGGCCCAGACAGGTGGTGTTTCTTTGTTCCCCATGCACGCACAGGCACAAGTAGGATGGGCTGTGGGGTTATAAACCTGTGGCCCTGCACAGATGACAGTGGCTTTTGACCCAAAGGTGACAATGGCTTAATAATAAACATGGTTTTGCTCCTGAGAACCTTTGTTTGTACTGATGAATGTGTTTGATCTCTGGGACCGTCTGCAGAATCACTCACATTTACATTTCCCTCATCATTACAGGAGTCCCGGCAGCCTGCACTGCCCAGGGAGAAGGGAGGGCGGTGTGAAATGTGAGGACCAGTAAAACTCCGTTGCAAGCTGCTGAAGCAGACCAGGCTGATTATGCAGGAAGGAGTTTATTAATGCTCGGTATGGCAGGGAGTTGTCAGGAGGTGTGGATCCGCCTCTGGTGTAGCTTCAGGAAATGATGCCCCAAAGTCCCCCACACACCAGGAAGGGCATGATGGGGAAGCAGGATGCTCAGCCACTGCACAGCTCCCAGCACACAGGGATGCTCAGTTGCCCTTCACCACACTCACAACCACCACCAGCAAGGACACCCAGTGTGTCCCAGGCCACCGATTTGGCCTCCCCCACCTCCCAGGCTGGATGCCGCTGCTGCAGCCGCCTTCTCCAAGGTGCAGGGTCCAGGGCCACCCTCTCCTGGGATGTGTGTCACAGAGATGGAGGCTGTCACTGTCACTCCCTGGCCTCATGGCAAGGGAGGCACCTTAAGGCAGTGAGACTGGCAAGGTGGGGAATTCTAATATAGCAGAGGCGTATGAGGGGCTGACACCAGTGTACCCCACAGGGGCATCCGGATCGGGGCCCGTTAGCTATAAGTCAAAAGCGTTTAAACATCAGACCCCAAGGATCCTGGAAAGCATGGTGTGGAAAGCACTCTGTGTCATCCATACTAATTACCCAGTGCCTCTGCTCTACAGCAGGGGTCCGGGGTGCCATTCTGGGCTTGGGCTATGCAGCAGTAAAGCAAGCCCTGAGCCCAGAGGTCCCGAGTCACGGAGGGGCAGCTGGGAGACCATCTGTGAGATCCCTCTGGCCCTGCCTGGCTCCCTCGCCCTCGCAGGGGCAGGGAAAGGCTGGCTTCATGGTTTAATCAAGTTCAAGGCAGGCCAGGCCTTAGCTGCCGCAGCTGGCAGGATGAGCGATTTGGGAGAAAATAAACGGCAAGCCCAGGCCTCGGATTGAAGACTCACTGCCCCACCCCCCAGCGCTCATTAATGTGGAATTTGCTGCTTAGGGAAGAACCAGCTCTCTGACTCCATAAACGTGTGTAAGCGCAAATTTAATAAAGCCGGGAATAATGCCATTCAGATGTAATTCCTTCATTCCACATTATTATTCTTTTTCTTTTCTATTGCAAAGCATTTGAAACAGGGAGTTATTGTTATAGCAACAAAAGGAAATGACTAACTGGTTGATTACTGATTAGACAGTGCTTAGGGAAAACAGGAGAAAGAAACTGAAAGGAGCCAGCCTGGGTCTTACAGTTCCCTTCTTTTTTGTTATGAATGGCAGAATACACCTGCATTCTCCATCGCGCCATCAGTCTGTTATTGCTTTACCGCACGTCTCTTAATTCCTCTAAGCTATGGATGTGGAATCCGTGTGAGATTTTCACAAGACACAAATGCAAGGAGGGAGGCATCGTCTCATAATACTGTGAAATTGTGTTCTGAATCGATCCAAAACGTTTCCCTTTCACAGTCATTTTGACTTTGGAGAAAGAGTCAGACATCGCATGGTGCCAGACCAGTGAATAAGGTAGACGAGGACCCAGTATTTACACCCCTGCCTTTCTATTGGATGGTGCTTGGCCGCAGTAGTCACTGTAGTTTTGATCACACATCAGGACAGGGGACTCCAGGACTGAGAGTGTGTTCAAAGAGAGGAGAGAGAGGATTTGGAAGGGGATTCATGGCAATGTGTCTTTCACTGTGATACATTTTAAAATGTAAACATTTGCCCTATTTTTTGATAGCCCCCTTGTATTTTATAGTTATCGTGAGCCAAACTGGCATGAAACAACTGTCCTGACTTTGGGGAGGGAAGAATGCCTGTCTCTTCCTCACCCCTGGGGTCATCACTGTGTGTCTCGGGCCCCGCCACTTACAGGTCTTCCCTGGGATACTTTTTCTGCTAGTGTTATCCTGATGATAACTTGGCGATTTGGTTTAAAAGGGATGCTTTGGATGTTGGGAAATAGAAAACTCAAGTTAGTTTAAACGACAGGAGAATTTCAAGGCGTTTTAAACTGAAGTCCAGAGGTAAGGTAGGCTTCAGAGCAGGTTTGATCAGGGCTCTGGAGTGCCACCAAGGATTTGGTTCCTGGCCATCTCTAATTCATCCTGAGCCTAGATCCCTTCCTGGTCACAGGATGGCTGCTGGTGATGGAGTTCAGGGCTCACTACCCCAAAACACAGCACCTGGACTTTTGAGGAGATGGAGCAGGGAGCTCACCTTTACCATTTGGTCTTGCTGTCCCCTGGTCAGGTTCTGAGAGCCTCATCTGAGAGGTGCCCTCCCTATACCCAGAGGAAAGGGACATGCTAATCTCCAAGGACTTGGCGACACAAAGAGGAACCTGGACAAATAGGCTTGGATAGCTCCTCCCATTTATCACCCCTAGATCATGACCTCTGTCCTCCAGTCATATTTTTCCCAATGGACCACTGTTCATCAAACCTAAGCATAAACACACACAAGTACCTTTCTCTTTGGGTCTGCATTTCCTTAAGAAGTTTCCTGAATCACATAAAGCTTATGTTGACTAACTGCTGGACATTGTGGCAGATACCTATAATCCCAGCACTCTGGAGGCTGAGACTGTAGGATCGCCACAAGTTCAAGGCCAGCTTGGGCTACACAGACTCTGTCTCCAAAAACAAACAAATAAGTCTTTATGCTTTCTCTGGTTCATCTCTTTTGTTATAGGGAATTTGGCCATGAATCCAGGGAAAGGAATAAAAAAGGTATTTTTGACTCCAGCCCTAGGTTTCCCAGTGTTCTAGGGCAGGGAGGGGGAGCCAGGGGGCAGAGCTCTATGGGGCTTCTGGGGTGATTATGCTCTTTGTGATCGGATCACCTCAACACCTGCATTGTCCTGGCTGCTGTACTATGGTACCAGGGCCCTGGTAACCCTAGAGCTGCTGCAGCCACACCCCTTCCAGGCAGGACTTGGGGACTACAGAGCCCCCACACGCCAGGAGGGGGGAGGGGGAGGGGTCATGGCCAAAGGAGCAGGGGCCTCAGGACTCCCCACTCCAGCTGCTGGGTGGAAACAGATGGAGGGGAAGGGGAGAAGTGGGAGGTCACTGTCCTGAGCCACAGGAGAGGTGCTGGGAGCCTGGACCCCTGGGGCCCCTGGAGGTGGGGAGAAGTGGTGGTATTATAGACAGCTGAGTTAGGTAGAAATATAGACAGTCAGACAGGGCAAGGCTCTCAAGGGAGTCAGTGCAGAAGATGAGAACACATTACAACTGTGGCTGGAGGCGCATCTATGGAAGCCCAGGCCTTGAGATAAAGACAAAATAAGGCCTACATACCTCCCCAAGGTATAAACAATAAACTGAAGATTATACTATAACTGGTATCATCTGGTCCAATAAAGTCTAGATAGACATCAGTCACCCAGATGGGTAACCAGGACCTCCTGATCCATCCCTTCTTTAAAAGGTCCTTGTTCTTTCCTTGTACACCTGCTAGGTGAGCTGCTTCCCCATTGGATCAATATTACCTAAACAGCTGTACTTGTAACATTATTGGTCAATCACAGTTTTGACCCACGTTGTACCCACCTGGTGATTTTTACTCTATAAAACTTTCTCTGAGAAGTGGGATCTTTGTTTGTGGGGTTTTTTTTGTTTTTTGTTTTTTTGGTACCAAGGATCAAACCCGGGTCCTTGCGCTTGCGCAGCAGGCGACAAAACCACTGAGCTAAATCCCCAGCCCAGAAGTGGACTCTTCGGCTACCCACTTTTGGGTCCCCTCTTGTCTCTCAGGAGCTCTCTCTCTCTCAATACATTTTTCCTACTGTGAAACTCCTTTGTTCCTCCGAATTCATTCTTCGATTTTGGGGAACACAAACTTGGTGTATCTGACATCCAGCAGGTCGGGAGTGACATTTATTTCCCCTATGTCATGGCACTGTGAACATTGTGTGGCATTTTGAAGGAGGAGCTATCAGGCTGGTGATGGACCCCACACGGTGTGCAAGACAGAGTTTGGATGGGGCCGGTGGAAGCATGAGGTGGGGAGAGCAGTGTGGAGTTGTCACCCGGGCTCAGGGCTCGTCCCTACAGCTGGGGTGCAGGCAGTAGAGGCCGGGAGGTGGGGGCTGGGTGGAAGGCGGCCAGATCCAGCCTCCTGGGGGTTTAGAAGTCCTGGGAGACTGGAGTGGCCGCAGGAGGTGGGGCGCAGCCAGGAAGGCAGGTGACACTCCATCTTCATAAACCCGCCTCAAATCTCCTCGGGAGCCCCCTGAGCTGCTCTGAGTCCCAAGGAGGCCACCTCGCGGCCCAGGAAGGAGGAGCACCTCCGGGCCACCGGGCCCAGCCTGCGTCCTCGGGGCAGGGTCAGCGAGGCCTCCAGGAAGTCCCGGCCTCGGCCTGGGTGGGGCCGCCTGTGGCGATGCTGGGTCCCTGTCCCCGTCGGTTCCACGCCTACGCAAGGCCCCACGAGCGCGCCCTGGGCCGCTTGCTGGCTCGGTGCCCGCTCTGCAGGGGCAGACCTCACCCTGTCCCGCCTCAGTTAGCACAGCCGCAGAGCGGGAGAACCGGTAGCATGGCCAGGGGAGTTGTGCTGGGCGCGCCGGAGGGGACGCGAGGGGCGGGGTGAGGCCAGGTGAGTGGGGGCAGGGCTAGGTGGGCCGGGCGGGGCCCAGCCGAGAGGGGCGGGGCTAGGCGAGTGGGTGGGGCCAGGAGAGCGCGGGCCTCCCGGCCAGGTTCGCCTCAGCTGCTGGGTAAGTCGGGGTGCGTGGGCCGGCAGGTCGGGGATCCGCGCGGCACGCGGGGCTGGCTGCCCAGGTGGGGACCCCTGCCGGCCCTGGGCCGGGCCCCTCGTCCCTTCTTCCCTCCTGTCCCCCTACTGCTCCTCCCTCCTGCAGAGCTCTGAGCTGGGCTGTGTCCGCCCGAAGTC